AAATTATTTCTCCATAAATATACAAAACATAAAACATTAAATACATTGAGCTCAAATAAATTTAATTATCTCATTTCAGTAAAAATAGGTTTTGTATGTGTAAAACAATCAGCATAGCTAATTATGCGGATCGCATGTTTTTGACGACGATAAAGAAGTTTTAATTTACTTTTAACTGTACTCCCCCAAGCAGTGTTAGTATAATTTATGTAACTGTAGATAAAAGAGTTATAAAGTTGGCTTATAACATTTAAACCAGTTTGATATATGTTTTAGTTCTTTATTCATAGTGGAAAAGAGTTCATATACATTACTGCTGGAGAGAAATAGGTTGGTATCATCTGCGTTCATGATACTTATAAGGTTGGAAGCTTTATTCAAATCATTTATATATATCAGGAAAAGTAGGGTTCCGAGGATTTAACCTTGAGGAATACCGCATACGATATCAAGATAATTATTTTGATAACCATCGTTACTAATTACAAATTGTTTTCTTTTTGTTAAGTAGCTTCTAAACCATTTTAAAGCAGTACCTTTAATTCCATAATATTTAGGTTTTTGCAGAAAAATATAGTGATCTACAGTGTTGAAAGCTTTTGATAGGTCAATGAAGATACCTAACAAGTACTGCGATTTTTCAAAAGATTTCGAGATTTCATGCACAAACTGGATTATTGCATGCTCCGTTGAGTTACCTTTTTTTAAAGCCGAATTGTTTGATATATAGTAAGTCATTTTTGTTGAGATGTTTGTTTATTTTATTAGACATTATTCTTTCTAAAATTTTTGAAAATACCGATAGAACAGAGATGGGACGGTAGTTGCTAAAATTCGATCTGTCACCCTCTTTAAAAATAGGAATAATTTTAGCAACTTTTAATTGTTCTAGAAATATTCCTAGGTTAATAGAAGCTTTAAAAACTTTAAAAAGAACATGTTTTAATATATCGAAACAGTTTATAATTACATTTCCATTAATTTCATCTGCTCCTGTTGCTTTGTTTCTTTTCAAGGAATTCAAAGCTACTTCAAATTCCTCAAAAGATAATTCTGAGGTTAACTCATCGGAACAAATGCCATTATTCATAGGTACGAGAAAATCATTGAAAGAAGTCGTCGTATTTGGAATCTTATTTGATAGAGAAGGATCTATCCCAATAAAAAATTTATTTAATTTATGAGATATGGCTCTTTGATATCTAATGTTATCAACTTTAATCATCTGCGGCAGAAAACCTAACCATGATTTTTTGTTTTCCAGTAATTTCTTTCATAATTTGCCATGTGGGTTTCAAGTCGTTTTTAAATTTATTAATTAGTATATATATATATATATATATATATATATATATATATATATATATATATATATATATATATATATATATATACGCAATAACCGAAAAAAAAAAAAAAAAAATTGGACTTTGACGAGTACAAAAGTATTGAGATTTATGTTTCCGGAAAAACTTTTCTTGCAATCTTATTTTTTTACGACAGCCCATAAAATTAGCCATTTATGTAATCGGTTTTACAAAGTTTTACATTTTTGAACATCGACTAACGTTCGTAATGGCAGCTTCCAATTTTCGATGAAGTGTTGATTCAGACGTTGTCTTCAAATTTGCCACTAAATATTCTTCCTCCGAAATATTGTTAATATTGCTGTGTTTAAAATCTATCAATGCTTTTAATATACATATTTTTAATGCAATAAATTGCTCTAACATTGCAAGAAGGCTATTCCACCTTGTTTTTATATCCAGTATTAACTTGAATTCTTTATTGTATTTAATTTTTACGCATTTTTGTAAAATTTCATTTTTGAGTGGTGATTTACGAAACATTCGTACAATTCTTCGGACCTTTTGAATTATTTGTGCTATACTTGCCGCCTAATAATTCGTCAGTGATCTCAACGTCTCGTAAATTTAATAAATCGTTGTTTCGGCTTGACTATAATCCACTGAAGTAGCAAAATCGATTTCTTCAGACTCGTCATCTTCACTATTATTTTCATCAGAATTCCGACTGTTTGATGCATTACACTCACTGCCCGATGAATTTGAAATCACTGATTTTTTGTAGAGAAAATCATAAATGCTAAATGTAGCCCATGTGCATAACAAAGTTGTGTTTCATCGCACCTAATTTTCCATATTTTTTCATAACTGATGCAGCGTCAGTTACACTAGAAATTATATGCTTTTTTTATAGATAAATAAATTCGGATAATTTATTTTCAACCACATCAATAATTTTTTCAGCTGGAAGCGACCCAATTATTCGAACCATGACCAAGTTACAAAGCCTAGTTAATGAACGCACATTTAAGTTCAAATAGCGACAATTTTTTAAAGATGTGCATTCATCCATCGAAATAGAGAATCTTGAGCCACCTTGAATTTGCATAGTTATTTCCTTAACCACTACTTTTTTTGCCATATGGTATTGACTTTTTACCAAATTCATTAAGTGTGAAGAGTTTTTTGGCAATATCATCCTTGATCAAGCAATTTTTGCCTTTTGGCAATATCATTCCTTTATCAGATAAAGATTTTCTTATAAATTCAGATTTTGCAATAGCATTAATAGAAAAACCATCTACAGCCCCCAATTTTGAAACAATTTCTTCTATAGATTCCTTTTTTATAAATGACGTAATTTTAGGTTGAGCATTTCTGACTTCAAAACTTGTGTCTTCCTTTGGCCTTTTTTTCATACTTCAATTTCAACTTACTAGTGAAGATTTCTTAAACGACGAAGAAGACCACTTGTTGAAAATCCTTTGCACATTATTGTTCTTTTACATATACTACAGGTGGCAGATTCTGTTTTTTTTTTTTTTTGTAAAATTTTTCCATGCCTTAGATCCACTTGACATGATACGATATATTTGTTGTCCTATTAATTAAATTGATTAAAATATAAATATATAACTATATTACCTACAATTGAATACCAAAATAGTGTGCTGATAGTAGATTTACTTAAATTATTTAAAATTAGCTGTAATTACCAAACACATATTTTAAGCTTCACTTACTTGGTTTTTACTTATTTCACTTTTTACATATAAACTACTTTCTTAACGTAACTAAATACTTTACTTACTAACTATTTACTTTTATGCGTAACTAATTACTTTTTTTGCTCGGACAAGTACTTGTAACTTGTCCGTGGTTATTTTATAATGATTTGGTTTGTTTGTTCAAGCTTTACATGCTGTAAGTTACAACATAAAAGTAAATAAAATCTATTTATAAATCAAATTCAATAATAATATTTTATCTATCTTAGACACAAACCAAAACTGCAAAATATTGGTGATTTAATTGCCCTCTATAAGATATCTTCCTAATTTTTATAGAAATTCATTATAAAAGGGAAAAGGAAATAATTAGTACTCAAATTTTGAGTAATAATATTTTAATATTTTTACAAATATAAATATATTAAAAATGCTATTACTCAAAATTTGAGTAAAAATATGTTTAAGAAAATTACCGGGATTCCAGGGAAATTTCATTTGTTGTCTAAACTATTGTTGTCAAAACTATTGTTGTCAAAACTATTGAGATCCCGAGATAACGGGATGGTTTTTTACCTTCGGGATCCCGGGATCCCGTTTGAGAAGCCCTACTTAATACAAATTCTTTAAAGAAAAAAAGAAAGAAAAAAATCCACTCTTCATAGAATATTTAAAAAAAAAAAGATTTTGTTTACGTTTTCTTTTTTTCATAAAAATGTCTCTATTTGCTAAAAAGAGATGCACCATCGTCTACATTAATTAAAAAAAAAAAAAAAAATATCCACACACTTTCAGTAAAGATCGTAGTGATGCATTCTTTATTTTTTCATGCCAAATTTTTTAAGCTCTAATTACATTTTATACACTTTGAAAGATATAAGATATATAACGTTATTGTCAACAAAGTAAACGATCGCTTCCTCAGGAAAACTTTCAATATTTTCCAAATTTTATCTCATCTCAAGAACATCGCTAAAGCAAACTTATTGAAAATAGTAGTAAATTAATGAAAATGATTTTTTTTTAAATAAACATCCTGAATGTGTTAATTATGAATTTTAAAAATAAAATGGTAAACATCGATTTTTGTTTTTATTCAACCTTTAACTATTGTAGTAAAGATAACAATAAAATTTAATTGTTTAAATTTTTTTTTATGCAATATCAAATATTAGAATTAAAATTCATTTTAAAATTTGAAGTTGAGTTTTTCAAAGAAATTTATATTTGAATTATTTTTACATAGTTATTGTTTTTTGTAAAACTTTTAAGGAAAAAGACGAAGATTTTCGAATGACAAGAAAAATAGCTTGACAGTAAAGTACTTAATTAGCGGAGTTGTAATTTAAATCGCGGAATAGGTAAAACAAAACTGCTGAAGACTACTTCAACGACATTTTTTGACTGATTAATAATTATCAAAAACCCGAGCATATTGATTTTTTATTTGCAATCAATATTATTTATTTTTAAGTATAGAATCATAATCAACAGCCAAAGATAGATAGTGAAATTATATAATAAATGAATGTTTCTTCTCCGGTGGTGACAACGGCGTTTTAACACTTTAATAATCTATTGACAAAAACTCAAGACAGCTTAACCAATTTTTTCAATGGATTGATAGAATACTTACCATTTAAATTTTAATCTCTAGTTTTAAATTAAAATCATGTTTATATAGAGTTTTTCTTACATAGAGATTCTAAGTTCATTAAATAGTTTATAACCATATTATTTACCGTAGTAATTGTAGTTTATCATTGTAATATGTAATGATCATTTTGATCATAATAATTAATAATATGTATTATTAGGATAATAAATAATATGTATTTATAGGATTATAAAATTATATACGAATAAAAATATATTTATCATATATAAATATTATCAAAATATATTGTCTGTAAGATTTCTTTATAGATAGTTTTAGTACACATTTTACAATTACTATTTTTATTAGGTTTTTATTCAAATGACTTCAAAGTTTCAGTTCATTTAGAAAAAAGAACAACAAAAAGCAATAACAACAAAGTAATTCAGATGTAGCTATAAATAATGTCCTCCTTTTGGAGTAAGCTTTTTAAGCCTACTCAAAAAAAACCAGAGTATAAATACCTTAAAAAAGATTTAGATCCAAATAATTTTTGGGAGCTTTGTGGTGAACTTGGTGATGGAACCTTTGGAAAAGTTTATAAGGTATTTTTTTTTATGTCAAATGTTATCCTGTAAAGTATTTTCAAAGTAATAAAATACTCAAGATTAGTTTTTAAGTACCAATATAGTCTCAAAATTAAATTTTTTTTATACATAATAGATAAAATTTTTCAGGGACAAACCTAGACATGTTTTGGTTTGATATATGGTGATGTATAATTGCTCAAAAAAAAAGTAATAATAACAAGTTTTCTGTATATTTTAGATACTTTATTATTTCTTCAGTAAATATGCTAGATAATATATTTAAAACAGTTTTTTTTATTATTGACAGAGTAAATAGTTTAAAAAAAATTATTCTTATTTTTACAAAAACTTAATTTGAAGACACATTAATGTATCAAAAGTTATTTTTCCTCAAAAAATTGAAAAAATTTGTGAAAATTCATGTAAACCAATGATTTAATTCGAAAATATTTTGCAGAATTTTTTTTTTAATTGTTCTAATAATAGATATTACTTTTGCATATTTTATGTTTTAATGGATTGCAAAAGTAAAATATGTTTTCTTTTATACCATTTTTACAATAAAAACCTGTTTATATTTATCAAAAAAAAAAAAATACTAATACACAAAATATAATACACTTTCATTTTCTCCTTGATTTACCATGTTGATGCATTTTTATTATGAATGCATCAATTTTAAATCAAAAAGAAGTTTTCAACAGCAAGATAAAAAGTATTCCACAATTTTAAAAAATGCCAAAAACTTTAAAATGCAAAAAAAAACACTTTTTTAAAACTCTTTTTAAAGTTATATTTTAAACTTTATAAATTTTATAAATAGTTCAAAATATATTTTTTGCTACTTTAATTTGCTTTTTTGATAAATATATGACGTAAACTCTAACATTTTTTTTTTTTTTTGCTACACTTACTTTTGTTTTACTGGTGATTAATAAACCTCAATTTCATAAATGATTTAAGTTCTTATTTTATTATTGCTTTATTAAAAAAATTTAATTTATTATTTTTATAATAATTATATAATAATTGGGTAATTAACTCAGAACATTTTTTCTTTTAACTGTGCTTTGGCGCTTTGTTTTCTTTCAATATTTTTATTTATTTACTAATTACTTTAGCACTTTTTGTTTTGTGACAAACAAAGATTTAAGTTTCCAAGTATAATTTATTAAAAAATATATACCCTTGCACATTCACTTTCCTTAAGACAAAAAGTTAAATGTATGCTTCATGAATATTTTATAATTATACTTTTTTGGTATTGCACAATTTGTTATTATATATAATCAAGTAAAAATTTTTCTTAGTACATGTTAATTATAATTTTTTATTTAAAAAAGAAATATATATATATATATATATATATATATATATATATATATCATAGCCATGAAGTACAAAATCAAATATATAAAAAACCATTTAAAAAATAAAAACTACGGTACAATGAGTTCAGAACGTTATAGTACAAGAAGATGTAACGGAAAACTAATCTCTGCTATCAAATAAAGAAAGAAGAAATTTATATTTGTGTCTGCATTTAGAAACTAATTCGCCTATTTTTGTTTAGCAGGTTGTCTCCTTTGTAAAATAACATTTTAAATTTCTTGTTTAAACAAAGCTTACAAATTTTTGATGAAGGATTGTATGGTTTACAGCATTTAATATTATTCCATTTGATTGAAGATGTAAAATTGTTTTCTTTTAATTCCCATACTTCCTTAGATAACTCAGTGTCGTTCTTGTACTTTTTTATGTTAAAGGATTTTAGATGGTTTGCATAACGTAGCTTAAAAGAAGTTTTGCTTATCCCAATGTATACTTTATCTTTGTATTGAGGTTTATATGAGCTTACGTTGGCTTGGTATATGATGTTGTTAGACAAGCAATTGTTGTTCAGTGGACAATGAGATTTTTTAATGCAATTGCAGCTTTTACTGATAATTTTACATCACCATATAAAATATTTTTGTTGTGTGAGTTGATGATAGATTTAATGTTTGGGATGCAGGAGTAGCTTATCTTAATTGTGTTTCTGTTAAACATTTTGTGTAGGTTGTGGTCTTTAGGAAAATGCTTGTCAATTAAGGTTATAAGGTTGACCAAATTTGGTTTTAACATTGTTACTAAACGGAGGATTGTACCAGATTATATTTTGTTTGTGATTATTTTTTGTAACATTTTTAATGCTTGGTTTATATACCAACTTATAAGTGTATCCTGATTGCTTTAGTGCGTCTTTATAAAGATGTGTTGATTTTTTGAAAATAACTTTACTTAATGAGTTGGCGGACAATCTTAGCTCAATATTTTTTGGAAGATTATTTATTATGTTAGGTGGGTGATTAGAATCAGGATGTACATAACTTTGCTTTTTATAAGGCTTGCAGTATGGTTGGAATAAATTTTGAGTGTGATTAAAAGTTAAATCAAGGTAGTTAATAATTTTAACATTACAATTGATAGAGATGTTGAGATTGTTATATTTAAAAACTTGAATGAAATGCTTTTTTATTTGTAAAGTGTAATTATATTTTATGATTGTTAGCAATCAATGTAAAGTGTAATTATATTTTATGATTGTTAATGATCGATTTGCGTTAATTGTAAATAGTTGTATATAATATAAAGTCATAGTTGTAAATACCAAGAGAATATGATTGTATATAAATTATGTTGAATTGCATTAGAAAATATGAGGCGTTTAACGCTAAACTTATAAAGTCAATTTTGATGTGAAACTACAAGCTATTACGGCTAAAATGTAGACTAAAATTGATTTAAAGTTAATTCCGGAGTTTAGTGGAAACGATCAACAATCAGTTGCAGAATGGCTGGAAAAAGTGGAGCTAGTATGCAAACTAATTGGTGTAACCGATCTGACAAGCATTGTTCCCCTCACAAATGGTGCATTTGCAGTATATCAGCAGTTAGCAGAAAGTGATAAAGAAGATTTCGACCAGATAAAAAAGACGTTGCTAAAAGCTTTCACCGTTGATACATTTACAGCTTACGAACAATTCGTTACAAGAAAGTTAAAGCATGAAGTCAATGTTTATTTGGCGGAACTGCGGAGATTATCTACGCTGATTGATGGGTTACCAGACAGAGCTATTGCATGTGCCTTTGTTTCTGGGCTTCAAGTTCTCGTATGGATGATCTTACTACTATACAAATACTTGCGCGAGCAAGAGCACTCATGATTGAAGAACGGAACAATGGAACGAATGAAAATTTTGCTGCTGCTGTAACAAAAAGACGTGCTAAATTGAGGTTGCTTGAAGATCAAACACAACCAGTTTGTTATGAATGTAAACTCCCGAATCATTTTGCAAGAGATTGTCATTTAAGACATAGCAATCGTAGCAAGTTGGGTCGGAGACAGGAGACAAGCAATGTTATGTGTTACTTGTGTCAAGAGAAAGGACACATCAAGAATGTGTCTAAAAAACGTGCTGAGGGAGAAGATGTTTGCGCCAGCTCTCTCCCCAAACGATCAATTATGGCGTTACCTACTATACACTTGGACATTAACGGCGTTCTTTGTGATGATTGACTCTAGATGTACCTGCTGTATCATTTATAAAAAATGTGTGCCATAAATTATGAAGAAAGTAGTTAGCATGGTAATTGTAAATGGACAACAACATCAGTGCGAAGGCGTTTGCTGAACATGAGTCGTCACCCCAAATGGGAATGAAGTTTTTGTGGAAACACTTGTAGTTGACTTCAAACCACTTGGTTATTGTTTTTTGATGGGTATGGATGGAATAGTGGCTTTTGGTGGAGTATCAATATCTGCAACTCGTGATGTTTGTTTTATGGGAAGAAACGAATCATGTTTACTTGGACTGAGAACTGATATTCCAAAAGATGTCAGTAATTTGAATAGAACAGCTCGAGATTTCACAGCTTCTTTGAAAAAGAAAATGGAGAATATATAATTGCGTGGAAATGGAATAATAATTCTCAACCTGAAACTTTAGTGAACAAGATTGCTGAATAAACTATCCCTGTTGGCATAAAACACGATTACGAAAAAGAAATTGAAGGATGGATAGAGAAAAAATGGCTGCAAAAGTACGATTTGAAGAAATATGGTCCAATAAAAGGTTTGGTTCCTCTCATGGTAGTCATGCAGCGAAATAAAGGAAAAGTACGACCAGTATTGGACTTCAGGGAACTGAACACGTTTATTGAAGCATTCACTGCAAACACAGATGCGTGTGCTGACAAACTTTGAGGCTTGAGACGGTTTGGAGAAAATATTTCGATAATTGATTTATCTTCAGCTTACATGCAACTAAAAATTTATGAGAAACTTTAGGCTTACCAAACTGTTGTGATCCGTGGAAAAAGATTTTGTTTAACATGTTTGGGACTAAACGTTGCGCCAGTCATAATGAAAGCGGTGTTGGACAAAGTACTATCACAAGGCGAAACAATCTGGAAAGGAATATCATCATACATTGATGATATTTTTGTGAATGAAGACATAATACCTGTTCGTCGCATACTTGATCATTTGGAAACTTATAGGCTTGATTGCAAGCCGGTGGTCCGCGTATCCGATGGAGCAAGAGTTCTTGGTTTACAAGTTGGAATGGAAAATAAAAAGTTGCGTTGGAGAAGAGATAATGATTTTGTTGAAATTCTGAAATCACTAACAAGACGTAACATCTTTTCTTTGTGCAGAAAAATGACAGGAAGTCTTCCAGTTTGTGGTTGGTTACGTGTAGCCTCGTCATATGTTAAAAGAACTGCAAACGCCTTGAGGAAAATGTAGGGTAAAAAAATAAAATGCAATTGTCTGGAGAAAATGCTAAATGATACAAATAGCATTCCTGCTAAAGGAATTTGGAGTGTTTACAGTAACGAGGCAACAATTTGGGTAGATGCTAGTTCAATAGCACTAGGCGTCATTGTCGAGGTTGATGGTAATATAACCGAAGACGCCTGTTGGTTAAGAAAAGACGACACAACACATATAAACATGTCTGAACTTGATGCAG